TCGGCGAAGTTAGTGCCAACTTTAGCTGACAGAGGGTGTCGCGTGGTCAGCGCAACGAATCCCCACGGCAGTTAATTTCGGTTTTCTAGACCGGAGCCGCTATTTCATTGTAATAGCTCCTCAAATATCCTCATGAGGCTGAGTGGACCCCGTTCCAGACCCACTACTTCTCAGGAACTCTGGTAGAGTCGGGAATCGAACCCGGACCTCTGGATCTGTAGCCATGAACACTGACCACTAGACCACAGGGGCGGTTAATCACCAATACACATAATAAAATATACAAATATACACATACAATAACAACAGCGAATCCAGGGGTAAAGATATTTTCCCTGACCTACATCGACGCTCCAGATCTGTAAACTGGCCAGGGGGTGTGGATGAGCAACACACGTTACACGGAAGTTATTACGATATAGGTTCGAGAATTCGTTCCTACATACATCGTTGTTGGAGACAATAGTTATGTCTTAATGCGCTGGCAGTAGCCTCTTGAAAATGAAGGGCTCTTGGACTAAATAGAAGGCGTCTATCAAAGTTTACCCCCACTTCCATCTCTAACTGAACCACATTACATAAACTGACACAACCTAAAAAGGGAATGAAAATATTCATTACTCACATTTGAAGCACACTGATGAATAGTGTGTTCTTCTTTGTTAATATCAGTACACGCAATGCAGCGTAATTTAACCACACTCACTACGAATACACAAATGTCACTAACCCCGCACATACACGACATTCCACCACGTGCACATCCACCCACTTCTGGCGCGTTTCTTCAGATGAATTGCACGCAACGTAGACATCCTAGTGCACAACGCGGGCCGTTATTCAGGTGTCACAGAGGAGCAGCGATGCTTTTGTGTTATTCAACTGTCACTTGCAAGAGACAGATGGTGCTGTATAGTTTCGGTCATTTCATGCGTGCTGAAAATCTGTCCTCGGTTTATTCAGGGCTAGCTGTTAGTATTCACGTTTTCCGTGTTGTTAGTTGTGCCCTTTTCATGTTCGTTACGTGTATGCGTCTATGTTGTTCATTAAACACGTTCTGTGTTCTGTATTACAAAGGGAAGGAGTGCATTCAAACCCATTTATCTCCTTACATTCCACGCATATAATCCCTGTTTTTGATTCAGGAGTGGGCACGCATAGTACTCACGGAACCGGGTTGTAATTCTGAAATCCCATACCACATGAAATATTCAACATTAATCAGTTCAACATGGGGGCCACATTTAAGGGGGAGCGGCCGGGACGATAGTCCCGAGACCGCAGAGAAACAGAAATATGTTCCGCACATTTTATTACGACATATGCTTCCCTAAAATCGCGAAAAGTTAATTTGTATTTTGTTATTGTAATAGGAACAACAAAAAATTGCCACGACCTAAATTTGTTACTGATGGGAGCCTCCACATTTTTATTGCCCCCACAAATGTAAATTCAGCCAAGGTTCAATACAGCACATAAGGTACGGTAAAGTTATCCTTGTACTTAATTATGCAATTAAGCACTGTGCCATGAAGACATATAGGGGAATGGAGGTATAGCTCCACCATTCTTGACCTCAGCACTACATGGAGGTGAGTGGTCAGCTTCACGCCTCTGCCGCTTTACGCCGGAGGAGCCCCAAATTCCCATTGAATAGGAAGCTGGGTAGGCCCCAGAACCCGTCTGCCAGCTGTGGAGCGAAGAAAAATTACTTTCCCCGGCCGTCCAGCCCACAGCCTAGTCGGTTATTCTCGGTATCTTTGGCAAAAAGAAAAATCATATGAACTGAACACAAATCTATTTTGCATGTGACACTTTCACGATATCCTTCAACGTAAACTTGCTCATCTGTCGTTGCGGTCGTTGCACCTGTCTTTTAAATACGTGTACATCTGTAAGTAGTTGGGAATACCAGCATAAGATGGCAGCAGTGGAAGGTATCCGTGAGTTGGTATTGCAGTGTTCTCAATGTTAGCAAAATAAAATTCCCTTCACGTATTAATCCTGCTCAGCATACATTGTTATCCTACTAAATTCAGCAACGTACTCCCCTAGTTAATGAGGTTAGGCATTCTTCATGAACTTTGCAACAATTCTTGAAATTTAAATGGATTTTATGCTAGTGGCATGATCTATGTGCAAGGTTGCATAGAAGAATATATTTACCACTGCTCTGCCTAATGTACAATATGCCCAATGCACTACATAAGTAATATTTCAGTTTTTCCACAATACCCAGATTTCATACCAGAAATCAATTTCTCCATCAGATGATTAACTATAAATGGACTGAGAAAGTCCTGTACTGTATGCTCCCATGAATTGAGTCAAAAGGCACAAGTAATAGAGAAGAATGTACATAGTCATAAATGAGGCCAGAGTTCTTATAGGGCTGTACAAGCCAAGCAATTTTCTTCTCCTTGGAGGGCCATACAGTCAACTAGTAATATTTTCATATTCCACTTCACGTACAGGTTAAGATGGAAGTTGGTTTTCGCAGTATGTACTGGATTCAGCTAGTCAAGAACAAGGTCCAATGCTGCTGGATTATGTAAAAGGAAATAGTAATGTGTAAGTTTTAGCTTATATTTCTATTTTATACCATGACATATAAGACAAAATGCTTGGACACGTTCCCTCTGAGATACAATAAATACTATATGAACTACTTATATACACAACTGTACATACAGTTATGAAAATACTAGTACAACAAAATACTGATTCTTTCCTTCTAATACCATTCCAGCACCATGTCATAGAGAACCACAATTTAAGTAAAGATCTACTCACAACTTCTTTGAGAAGTCATGCTAAAAGTACCATCAGTGACACTAATAGATATGGAAGTATACACAAGGAAATGATGGAAAGAGATTTAGAAGTGCAGTTATGAGAAACGTCAGGATATTTTACAAGGGAAGGCACACAGGAAATTTGCTTAAATACCTACATATAGGCTAATAAGAACTAAAATTTGTGATGGTACATAATATTTTTGTCTACATATAAGTTATTTAAGGATATTTCTGTGGAATACCCTACAGATGTAGGCCTCTACAATGAAATCTGATGACAACTTAAAAATGATTTTAATGTTTGTTATTATTTGGTATATTTCCTTCTTTTATCAATTTTGATTTTCTTCAAGAATTGATAGGAGGCCAGATGCCTGACTGCCTCACCCTCCCCTGCCAGCACCACTGCTTGCAATGTACACACGCAACTGTGAGAGGGCAAAGAAAAGGGATGGCTATTCCGTAAGATATTTGTAACACAAAGGGTACATCTGGCCCACAGTGATGCAGTTCTGCATAAAGCTATCACATTTCTTGGAGACACATTATCACTGCCCACACAACAGAACCAGATCCACTTGCACTTCTGTAAATGCTAAGCACAATACTGATATATAACTGAGGTACATGCAAATATGTCAGAAACAAAACTGTGAGTTACTGTTTCCAACACACGCTATAATTCATTCCAATGCTGTTTATCACACTATCACTTCACTGTTACATAAATGAAACTACGCATATTGGTATATTACTGTCCTGGGATCTTGTAGGTATAACTGTACTGAAACCAAACAACCTGGCTCAAGCAGTAATGCTTTTCAGATTTACTGGGTTTTTGGACTTCGCCCAGCGTCCAGTATTCTAAAAATTTTTATTTGGTAGGTTTCCAGTATGCCTGCCAGGACACTGACCATCCTGACTGAAGTTTTTAGTTGCTTTCTTCAATTCCTCTTGGAAACCGCCAGGATACTAAATCAATTAGGCCACAGTTGCTTCCTACTCCATCCTTTCTAATTCATTATAAATTATCATCTCACTTGTTCCTGTTAGTTATTAGCCGTCTCACATGCAACTTGCTATTAAAAACCCTTCAACGCTTTAAACTTTAGAATCTACTGCACGTTTCAAATCAACATTGGTCATCTTCAGGCCCCTCTAAAATTGCTGATGAAAGTGCTGCGCTTCTGTCGTTAAGTTTCTATTTTTGGGGTATGCTCTCATCCATACACCCATGGTGATGGATACTTCCTCTTCCTGTGTCATGTCTAGCTGTTACAAATGCAGTGTGCATACACCAGTGGTGTAGAAGAGATTTTAAAATGTAAAACTTTTAGAGGTTTTAAGAAGCAAGTTGCATGTGAGACGGCTAATAACTAACAGATAACAGATAACTAACTGATGTTAACAGGATGCCACAATATAATACTATAATCATCTCACCATTTGACACCATTAGTCTGAGATACCAACAGTGCCATTAAATGAACCCACAAATAAATAAGATAATACTGAAATAGGTAATGCAAATTGAAGAGCCATTCTTCTTTGCAGGCCCAGCCACCATATGATTTCTTTAGTTGTAACTGCAAAGTTACAAGAGAGAAGTGACTCACTCGACAGGAACGAAATATATTACTATAATAAACATTCCACACAATCTTCAATTACCCTGTAATGTGTTTTGGAATATTTATTTTAATTTAGTTTTGATAAATTTCAAAACAAATTTACCTCCTGAATGGCACAAAGGTATAACTCACTAATTTCTCATTAGTTCCCAATGAATTTTTCAAAAACATAAATATTTCTTATCTGAATTATTTTCAATTAAAATCCATTAATTTTGGTTGCATCAATTCTTGAAAATAATGTACTCAAAAATGGTTAAAAGATACCAGTTATGCTGGATTTGAGGTTGTCATAGTGGTGAGAATGCAGGCATGACGTGTGCTGTGTACTTTGGTAGAAAATCATCAGTAACATTCTTCCAGACTACCCATCATCACATCCCAGAAGATAGTACCTTCAAGATCACTGTAAAAGGTTGAAAACCGTTTTCTCTTCTTGGTAATAGGCAATTAAATTATAGTAATACACTGAATTACTGATTGGTCATGTAAATTCAGTTGTCAAAGACTTCTCACAATACACAATGTGTATGTTACAACATGGTTTCAATTGAACAATGAAATGATACAGTACATTTAAATAATTGTCTATTTTACATAGCCTTATAATCACATCAGTTGTACTTGTTTTCATTATATTTTTCCTTACGATGATGGATGGTGCGCTTTGCAGTAAGAATCTGAAAATTAATACTTTCAGTTCTTCTGTAAAGCAGAACAGCAGTGTAACAACTCTTAAACAGACAAACATACATAAAAGTCATAAATAATTATAACAGCTGACATAAGTAAGTTAGAAGGAACCTGAGACCCTTAAGATTATTTTTGCAGGATGCTTAATGTAGTATGCACACAATAAAAAAAAACAATAAATGTTACTTGCATTTGCTTAATATCTGCTACCTTTTTACTCCTCCATTCCTTACAGGAGCATATCACTACTTCAAATCTCAATGCACGTTTACATTAACTTACGTTTTAATGCTTAGTACATGAAAACTGTTTTAACTCTGTACAGCTCGATTTACAAACTCTTCTCATGAGAAATTATGCATCTTATTTGTGTCCTCTGTATATAACAAAAGATCTCAGAGTTAACAGCAACCCTTTCTTACTCAGTCTGAAGGTTTCAGACATCATTCTTTTCAGGAATAGTACAAATGTCGAAAGTTTTCCACCACCATGCACAAATGTACTGCTGCATTATGATCACATGCTGAATGTCACATATTTGCTCATTATATTAACATATCTTACAGCAGTTTATATACAGGAATAACAGATGACAGTTTCATATTTACCCAGATTAAAGTGTATACTACTTTTTTTTATTTTCATAAAATTAACCTGAATTTTGTGGGGGTTATGTTGGAAATAAGGATGGGAAAGGATTAGGCCAAAAGCTGTTCAACAAACTACAAAACTGGAAAACATAAACAAAATCAGTGAAGGCACTTCAGCATTTCAGTGTCACTTACGATGCCCAACCATTCTGAAGAGAGTTCTTTCTGGGGCACAAGTTTCCTGCCAAGGACTACAGAATTCATGAAGAGTCATTATGCTAAAGGAGTAAATCACAAATTTTGGTCTTAAATGACATGTACATTTTCTTTTTCCATTTTAAATACACAGGACTGTAATGGAACTAATTAAATGATGGTGCTAACCAAAACACCTCCATATGGGTGTTATGGAGCTGGTTCACATCAATTCGGGCAAACCATGACCTAGAAATTCAAAACAATATTTAAAACTCCCTTAAAACAAGCCCAGCCTGGTCAGACACTACAAAGCAAAGCACACTGGTCAGGGTGATAGATGAAATTGGCTTTATCCATTTTGGAAGCAGGCTAATAAAAAACTGGCAATTGTATATGCAGACTGGTAGTTAAAATCTTTGCAGCACAACCCTGGCTCCCCACCATTTTATTCCACGTAAGTTTTCATCAATGGCTCTTCAGTCCATATGACCACATTCCATATTAACAAACAGCCACACGACACTTCCATGGAGTCATTTAGGAAGAAAAATAGTAACAAAATCTGATGTACATGAACAGGGGGAGCAAGACACATGGTCATCACGAAGAAACAGGTTCCATTTCAGAAAATCATGTCAGATTTTTAAACCAACACTGCAAGTGAAAAGTGACTCACAAATTTGATGGGACCTAAAATTTCCTAAACACAAGACACAATCACTGAAAAACCTTTTCTGTCAGTAAACTGATTAGCCTGAAAAAGGTTCTGTGAGACCAGCCATAATTAGATCTGGCAAATGATGAAAGACTGATTTCCTGTTGTATGTAATTCATACCTGAATATTTGAGTATATAACTCACATCAATGTTAAAGAGATGGCATTACCATGCAAACTACAGCAAACTCCCAGTTATCCAGCATTCAAGCATGCAGAATTCTCATTCAACCTGAAAAAATGTAATACGTTTATAAAGTTACACAGAGTTAAATGAAGTTGCAATGAGCATAAGCTTACCCACTATACATTAGTTCATGCAGCCACCACTAGAACCACTGCCCCTCATCCTCCCTTACACAGGTGCCATTACATAGTGATTCATACACACTACTTGAATTTGTAATCACATTATAGTAAATCCAAACTACTTCACCCTTCAATCCACTATGTAACCTAAGAAGACACATACACAAGAACTAGCCTGAAAACGCACTATTTTGACTTTGAAACAGAAGACAGAAATATGTAAAAGTCAAGAAAATGGTGAAAATTATATGAAAAGCTGGGGTTTTTAAGTTTTTCTCTTGACACAGACACATTCATGTAACTGAACATCCAATTTCCCATACATGCCACATAATAGGGAGTTTCCTGTACTTGATTTTCATCTATCGTAACTGATCGAAGCGTAGTATATTAGTTACTACTGTCTAGCTGCGGATTTTCAGTGTCATGCGAATCTCTTCTTCAGGAATTTTGGGGTGAGTGCTGCAAGGAGAATAATAACGGGGTGAAAGTCATGTGTCAGGGTAAATGGTTACAGCAGGATTCAGTTGAACCAGGGCTTAATTAAGAATTGCACACTGTTCAAAGTTGGCTGTAAAATAACAGAAGAATGCAATGTATTTACAGATTTGTTTCAGAAAGCTATCCCAACAGAACACTATTATAAATAGATAGATTTGTACCTTCTCTGTCTCACAGCTAAGTCCGGCTTATCTCAAAGTTACTTACTGACATTTCCAAAGATATTAAACTTTAAAGATATAGAGATATGATGATCTACCTGCATCAGTAAATTTCATCCTACAATATTACTTAATTAATTCAAACAATTCAGAAGTTCAAATGCTTATACTTTAAGAGATAATACAAGTGCAGCAGTGTACTGTCCATCCAAAAGCATTTGAAAACCAAGGGACTCATTTAATTACAAGTTATAATTTCTAATGGACAAAATTTATAAGTCACTTGTCCAAAGTTTAGGAAAGGACTGGTTCACTACTCTCCTCTACAAACTTCCATAAACTGTCATACATTAAGCTTCAGTAAGCTAAATAATTCACATGATTTTACGTGACAAAAAATTGCAGTGTCTTTAAAATTCAAACCAAACTTTCTAGTCAGATACAAAGATATGGCTCTTGCCACACAAGACCATTTCTTGGCCTGAGGAGCATGTTATCCACCTCTCAGATATCACAAACCTCCTGAGCTGTCAGGCTGTCAGTAGTGATAGCTACTTCACTATTCAACCATCCAATCCTGAGAAGCTGATTGAATTTTCTTTCACTGGAAACATAAGACTAAATGAACCATGACATTTATAGCCTCTAACAATATGGCAAAAACTCAACCTGATGAAAGCACAGATGCAAATTTACTATCATACAATAATTACATAACTGTAAGTATGGGTTGTCTCCCTTCATTGGCAGGTAAATTGAGATATCAAACCCAAAGATTGAGGTTAGCTACAGTAATTATTCTGGCATTTGCATTCTTTCTGAGACACCTGTATTACATCTAGCATTTTCACTGTTAATAATAATATACTGGGAAATTTTATGATCCAACAGACTGCACCACACACAACAATCTGTTCTTATTTATTTCCTGATTTATTTAAGAACCTGAAAAGAGTACTGTATAGTATATATGCATCCTGTTGCACTAACAAACACTTGGCAAACTATACCTCCCTCCACAATGCAACTTATTTGTTTTTTCCTTTTTCTTTTCAGTTTCACAACAGGCTTCAGCCATATATGGCCATCATCAGGTGTTCTTTTGCCAGACACTGTTTCATTGTGTGATATATACCACTTCTTCTATCACATATAAATGCACTACGTCCTAATTGAAAATAATGGACTCTATTAAAATCAGTAAAGGTCTACATACACGGAACACCACCACCACACAGGCAGGGCGAGGAGCCTGCAGGCAGGGGGCATACATGATAACTATATCAATATTTCGAGAGCTACATACACACAGGCACCATGCCACTGAGCAAGTAAGCCAAACAAAGAAAATCCACACAATGGTGTTCGGATAAAGAGACAACAGCCCCTAAGCAAAATACTGAAAAATCTTGACTGAATTTTAACTAGACTTTACTGATTTTTTATTGATTTTAATAGAGTCCATTATTTTAAATTACAACATGTCACATTTATATGTACATGACAGAAGAAGTGGGATATACCACATAGTGAAACATATCTGGCGAAAGAACCCTTGATGATGGTACAGTCTGTGAAGAACATGAAACAGAACTATCTTCTGTGATGTGACGCCATGTAGTCCAATACGCAAGTTCACTGACATTCCAGAGGAGCATACAACCTCTATCTTCAGGGTCAAAGAATAAACCAACTAGCAAGAAGCACTCAGCAAGCAGAACTTGCCTTCTTTACCAATCAAACCTGAAGATGTAGGCAATACATTCCTCTGAAATGTCGGTTAACTTCCACCAGATTACACGGCATCACATACCAGATGACAATAGTCTTCTTAGTATCTATTCTGAGAATCGTGAATTCAACATATCAAACAAAGTATCATCTGCGTTGGTTGTGTAACAATGAGATTTGTTCTTGCTGTAAACTTAAATGGAATAAATAAAATTGTCATGATATTCTGTGTACTTTAATTCCAATATTTCATAACAAACAAAACACAAATGTTTCACATAAGGCCGAATTTAAAGGGGAGTAACTGGGACAGTTGCCCCAGGGCCTCCACAAAATATAAATAGAATAAAGAGAATTTACTGAGACATTTGCTTCTCTGAAATCGCAAAACGTTAGTCTGTATTTTTATCTATTACGAGTATAAGAAATAAGAACAAAAAAAAAAAAAAGAATTGTCATAACTTAAATTTCTTGTTACTATTCAGGGCCTCAATGTTTTGATTGCCATGGGGGTCCCAAAGTGCAAATCCAGCCCTGATTCTACAGCCACAATGGCTCACTCTCTCAATAATTAAGCACAACATTTCACTCTTATTCATTAGTATAGTTTTCATATGGATCTAAGCTTTTAAATATGTTTGTGGATAAATGTCAATACAGAAAAATGCCTGACATTGACAATGACAATGAAAGTACTAACTGAAGCCATAAAAATGTGTCCGGAATATCAAAATACATACAAAAAATGATATAACATAGATTGTGCTGTGGTATTACTGGTTGACAACAACAACAAATAACAAATCACAATAAAGTTACAAGAAATATATGCTTATCTGTGCTGCAAAACCCTATGAAATATCTATGGTTTTCATATTGCTGTCAGATTTCATTACAAATGCCATAACACTGACTGACCTATGTGTGACTCATATCCTAACATACTCCAATTCTGATGATAGTTCCCATGGTAACCGGAACATGTTAGAAGGGAGTGGGGTGCAATGAGTGGACCGAAAGTCTATCATGTACTTGTGTGCCTGAAAAAAAAAAAATAACAAACATCAGCCATGACTGAGCGTCAGGCAAAAATATATTACACTTCATAAGAAGAAACTCAGCTTCGTTGTATTGCATAAATGCAAAGCAGTGTAGTCAGTAGCATACCTACATTTCATTTGGAAGGTTATGTGAAGAATCACCTTAAATATACAAATAAATTCTAATATAATCCTCAGCCTTGTTCAGACATGCTAGTGTAAAGAATACACTCTTTACTAAATGCAATGTGGCAGCATTATTATACAGATAAAAAGATAAAAGTTATTCAGGTGCTTAATTAATTAAGCACCATTCCAAGTAAACATATGGGGGAGCAGCTCCACACATAAACTTCGTCACCAGATGGCCACTCTACCCCCCACCCCAAGCACAGGGCCCTCTGTACTCAAGCTTATATTATGTCCATTTTAAGGTTAAAATTCCAGTGCCTACGATTACAATTAGTTTGTCTAACAAGCCCAACAGAAGAAATGTGTCTTCCAGTGGGTTGGGAGGAACAATGAACATGGAATTTGCTCTGTATGTGGCAAAGAGGAAGACTGAAACCATATGTTGAGATCTGAAGGAACAAAAATTTAGAGAGGAGGGTTAGGAACATCAATGCAGAAATACATATTGAGAGGACATTACAATGCAAAGAACAAAGAGCAATGACAGAAAACAGTTCTCAATATGACTAAATATAAAGAGAAATGGGAGAGGATAGTAATAAATGACAAGAAAGAAGTAAAAATAAATTTAGATGATTAAAAATCAATAGGGGTAGTAACAGGATACACATAAGTAAAATTTTTCTACATAACAGATGAGTTCTGCACTACAGGAATAGCGATTTTAAGTGGAGTGCAGGACGTGTGAGCACCCCAATGTGTAAGAGGCCTAATAAGGTATGCATAAGTCCATAAGTTATCTGCTCCTTTAATCTGAAGATGGAAATAATCAGGTTTAAAAATGTAATATATATATATGTGTGTGTGTGTGTGTGTGTGTCTTGTTATCCAATCAGACAATATTCAATTAAATTATTTCTATGGCAACTGATAAGATCAATTTTGGAATCATTACAATGAATCACAAATGGAAGGGTTCCATTTCCTTCTTTTATAAATTAATCTAGAACAGATAAGTGATGACTTACAAGGAACAGAACCATCTGAGCTTTCAATTCTGGTGAGAAACCCTCTCCAACCAGGCACGGGTAGGAGCTGGAATGTTCAGAAATGTAGGACACTAGCGTGGATACACACAGGTCCTCATCAATGTCATGCTGGCTCCACATAATTGCTGAAATAAACAGAAGATACTCGTATATACATATATATATATGCCATTAATATTACCAACTGATTTCATGCATATGAATCATAACCACACTTTTGAAGACACACTGATATTGAAAATATGAAGAACACTTTGGCCTCTGTCGTCTAATGGTCAGAGTTCCTGCCTACAGATCCAGAGGTCTCGGGTTCGATATCAGGCGCTGCCAGATTTTCTGAGAAGTAGTGGGTCTGGAACGGGGTCCACTCAGCCTCGTGAGGATAACTGAGGAGCTATTTCAAGGAAATAGCGGCTCCGGTCTAGAAAACCGAGATTAACGGCCGTGGGGATTCGTTGCGCTAACCACGTGATAGCGTGATTGAGATTAGTTCTTCATAAGGGGTCCAACTGAGTAGATGTCTTCCTGTCTCACCTGAAGACGGAAAGAGATCCAGCTTCCGAAACGTCGTATCCTCTACTACCTAAAATTCCGGACAATGGAAAAAGTCCAAAACCCCAGTAATTCTGTGTTACTCCCTCACTCAATTACGAAATGTGCGTCATAAAACAGCCAATCAATCAGTCTGCCAATCTGTCCTGTCATTCGTAAGTCAATCAGTAAATCAACCTACCAATCTCCCAATCAATCAGTTAAATCTGGTCTGTCAATCATAAGCCAGCCAACCAATGAATCTGCCAATCTCCCAATCAGTCAGTTAAATCTGGTCTGTCAATCATAAGCCAGCCAACCAATGAATCTGCCAATCACCCAATCAATCAGTTAAATCTGGTCTGTCAATCATAAGCTAGCCAACCAATCTACCAATCTGCCAGTCACTCAGCCCATCAGATAAATCTGTTTCCATCTTCGTTCCTATCGTCTTCCGAGATGTGATACCGTGTAGTTTGGTAGACACGTGCCAAGGTTTCAGAGGAACGTGCCTACCAACTGCAAAGCGTCAGAACCCAGAAGTCAGCGATCTTCACTGGCCGTACTGGGTCATGGGCGGATCCCAACACTGCATTCAGCGGTAATAGGGAGCACCAGTCACAGCCCGCATCAGAAGGCACTGGAACTTACTGGATGTCTGCTCGTGCGGCCTCAATGTAACCCCCCTTCACGTGTGTCAAGTGACCCGGTTGCACACAATGACTGGACTCACATCTGTCATCTTCACGTCATCTTCAAAAAATCGTAATGTTACAGCTGGAATGTAGGTTACCGCAAGCACAAGCCCCGGGTTCGCTCAACTTGAATCCGGCTTTGATCTGCTGCAAGGCACAGAGGGGTTGAATGCGGAAATTAGCCCCTTCTGAACCGATGTCTTTCCGCTTTAACCTTTCTTCCTTGATTTCCTTCTCACCCCCCCCCGGCCCCGCTTTATGTTATTATACGTACTGTCGTTTCGCCCTCTCTTCCTCCTTGCTTTCCTTTGTTTCCTCTTCCTTCCTTACTCCTATAAATGTTAATTTTTCTTCTTACTCTTTCTCTCATGTCTGTTCTTTTCCAGGTTCTAGAACACTCCTGTGGCAGAAATAAACACAAAAGAAATTGCTAACACATCAAAGAACCTTCCCCCTCAAATGTTATTCTCTCTGTTTCTTGTTGCTCGCTCTGGAATAGCGGGGGCTCTTTCCCCGGGCGTAAAGCGGCCGGGGCGTGAAGCTGACCACTCACCTCCGGCTAGTGCCGAGGTCAAGAAAATACGGATCTATCATTCCACTCCCCCATACGTAGTGCTTAATTAGTTAAGCCCAGTGACAAATTTTACCCATTTTGAAACATAGGACATCCGTGAAAGGCTTTGTTTCACTTCAGTTTCTAAATCTAAGACAGTCAGTAGGACTCCTTGAGCGAGGGATTAAACCGTCGCAAGGCCGCTACCTACACAGACACAGAATAAACGCAAACATCCATGTCTTGAGTGGGATTCGAACCCACTACCCCAGCATTCGAGCGAAAGAAGATAGTTCATGGCTTGGACCGAGCGGCCAGTGTGATCGGCCAAGTGTTATTACGGTGGTCAAAACAAGGAAGAGGTACGGTACATGTATGCGACACGGAGAACGCGGGAGGTGAGAAGCGCATTAAAACTTCAATTTAAAAATAAACTTCAAGGGAAGAGATCTCCAGAGGTACCTACGAATAAAAAGAGCACTAAAATAATGTCTCTTAAATGATACTGATTGGATTCATCTGGCTCAGAAAACGGTTCGGTTTCGGTGTCTTAAGACCACGGTAAGGAACATTCGGATTCTACATCATGTCCTAGCCGGCTGAGAGGGAGGCTTACACAACTGTGAGGTCAAGGCACAAATCGGAGAACACCAACCTACAAGGAGACCGTCTAATTCAAGCCCACAAACTTACCGACCTACTGGAACATTTTAAGAACCATCAAGTAAAACCTGGGGCTATCGATTTAAAATTAATTAACTAAGTGATCTAGGAGGGCTATCTTGAGAACCACTGGTTAAAGTTTGAAGCTCATCGATTAAGAACCCATTAACTCTAGGAGGGCCATCTTGAGAACCACTGGTTAAAGTTTGAAGCCCATCGATTAAGAACCCATTAACTAAGAGAACTAGGAGGGCCATCTTGAGAACCACTGGTTAAAGTTTGAAGCCCATCGATTAAGAACCCATTAACTAAGAGAACTATTAGGGCCATCTTGAGAACCACTGGTTAAAGTTTGAAGCCCATCGATTTAGAACCCATTAACTAAGTGAACTAGGAGGGCCATCTTGAGAACCACTGGTTAAAGTTTGAAGCCCATCGATTTAGAACCCATTAACTAAGTGAACTAGGTGGGCCATCTTGGGGACCACTGGTTAAAGTTTGAAGCACATCGATTTAGAACCCGTTAACTAAGTGAACTAGGAGGGCCATCTTGGGGACCATTGGTTAAAGTTTGAAGCCCATCGATTTAGAACCCATCAACTAAGAGACCTGGGGGGAACATTTTGCTAGCCCTCACCAAAGCAGTCATTCTCAGGTCCGAGTCCCGCAGGCCTCGTGACCATATTTTACTGTCTCAGTTTCGAGACTCCCCCAACCTGGAGGGCCAGGCCCCCGTATTTATATCCCCCAGGAACTGGGCGGCCCTGCGACTCGCATGGCTACGTTGTAGGTATTTGAACCAGCCTCCACAAGGGGTTCAGGATGTTGCAATATAACGCTTGAAGGTGATCTCAAGTTGAGAGTGACCGCACCGCGTTCAGCTGGACCGGGACTTGCAGAAAAACAAAACTTCATCGTGAGGTAAATAACCGGAACCGATATAAAGAGGTGATGAAGCAGCGTCCGCGCCTATAGAGTGCCTGGACACCATGGAGGCGCGCTGTGCTGCAGTGCTTCTCTTCTGCATAGTCACCGTGACTGCCACCCCACTGGCTGAGGACAGCGGTAAGTCGCGAACAGCTGCGGACCGATGCAGTTGTAGGTCAATGGCCGACACCTGTGATAATGGCTAATGAACTTTAGGATATCATATAAGCGGGCAATGCTTTGATCAACTCGCAGACGCACCGAGGGCCTTTGGCTTCCAGGCTTACAAGCCTCTTCAATTAACACCTATTAGACTTACGCCCAGAATGCAGGGCAAAATCATAACTGATAGCTAATAGATGCTTTGAAAAATGTGGCGGCAAAGTTCAAATATCTGAAATTAATAGTAATCAAATTCGGGTAATGCTTGCTACCACTCAGTTCAGAACCTTTTGTCTTCTCGTCTGCTGTCTAAAAACATATAAATTAAAATATACAAAACTATAATTTTGCCTGTGGTTCTGTATGGGTGTGAAACTTTGTCTCTGATATTGAGGGATGAACACAGACTGAGGGTGTTTCAGAACAGCGATGTGAGAACAATACCAAGGTCCAAGAGGGATAAAATAATAGGACACTGAGTAAAACTGTGTAATGAGGAGCTGTGGAAGTCATATTCTTCGTCAAATATAATTAGAATGATAAAACCACGGAAGATGAGATGAGCATGGCATGTAGAGAGCATGGGACAGGAGAGGAATACATACAGGGTTTTTGCGGGAAAGCCACACGGCAAGAGATCACTATGAATATCTAGACGTGGACTGGAGGAAAACGCTAAAATATACCTTAAAGAAACAGATGGGGTGGCATGGATTGGTTGCATTTGGCTCAGGATAGGGGCAAGTGGTGGGCTCTTGTGAACATGGTAATGAAACTTCGGGCTCCATAAAATATTGGGAAATTCTTGAATAGCTGGGCAACTGGTGGATTCTCAAGAAGGACTCAGCTACACAGTTTCATAGTTAGGCATACAAGGAATTCTCCGGCTTGGGACTAGAAATTCAAATTTCAAGCTTACGCCATATTGTATTACTATAATGTCTCGATTCGTTAAATTAGGACTATTGCCACAAGGGCTCGGTTGACTCGGTTGAAAAAAAGGTTCTCTGGTCGTGAGTCTCAAGGAGCCTGACGCCAAGACGAACTGATTGGCGGTAAACAGCTAGTCGTAGAGCAACTGACTATAACTTACTTACTTACTTACGAGCTGAGCCCTTCTTGAGGAGCCGCCAATTCTGCTGCTACTCAAGAATTTTCCAGCATTTTATGGAACCAAAAGGTTCATTACCGTGTTCACAAGAGCCCTACACTTGTCCCTATCCTGAGCCAGATAAATCCAATCCATCCCATCCTATCTCTCTAAGATCCACTCTAATATTGTCCACCCACCTACGCCTTGGTCTTCCCAGTGGTTTCTTTCCTTCTGGCTTTCCCATAAATATCCTATATGCATTTCTCTTCTTCCCCATTCGTGCTACATGCCATGCTCACCTCCTCCTCCTTGACTCTAACTCTAGTGTTCCTATATTGATTTTATAACAAATATAAAAGGATTTAGCGAACTGTGAGTCAGAACATTTAGAAATTATGAATATTGAATATTTTCTTTCAGGTGCAAATATTCCCTTCAGCGCCCTGTTCCCAGACACCCTCTATCTACGCGCTCTCCCTACGGTATCATACAAAGATTCACACCCCCACATACAGAGCAGGATCGTGTAGTAACGATCTAGACTTGTGTTCAAGCAGTGCTCAGTTCGAACCTATGCCTGGATACCATCTACCCTCAGCGTGTTCACGCTCTTCCTCAGTCCCTTCAGGGAAATGCTGGGATAGTACCTCGGCTAGGCCAGGTCCGCTCGCTTCCAAATCCTTGCTAATTCATCATTTCTAAATCATCTAGCAGTTCGACGGTATATGGCCTAAATGCCCACAAAGCCTATCCAATACGTAAGCGAGCCTCCTCCCGCGGGGGGGCAAAGCGGCTGGGGCGTGAGGCTGACCACTCACCTCCATCTCATGCCGAGGTCATGAATGGTGGGGCAATACAGGGAAAACTTTACTGTTTTACTTTCAGCGTCGTGAAGTGACCCACAAATCAGAACCATAAAATACAGCAGGGTGAATTATAATTCTGTGCGTTCTAATCTTTACAATATTTGAGAAGAGACGCGAAGACGTACGAATCATCTCCAAATTCAGCGTGTTCCTATTTCCTCTGTAAACGTACGGGAACAAGCCCACAGCCACAAGCCCAGACCAGACGAAGTTTCAACCGCATACATGGACGTGATTACGCTGCGGAGGGTAGAAAGCACCGTTAGGGAGACAGCGTGACCGATGCCACGTAGCTTCTGGGGGGGGGGGCGATTTCCCCCCCCCCCCC